AGGCTGGCTAACCTAGTGAGGAGGGCTTTAAACTAGGTTCACTGGGGGAAGGAGACCAAAGCCCTGAGGTAAGTGGGGAAATGGGATACCGGGAGGAAGCACGAGCAGGAGAACGCAAGAGGGGAGGACTCCTGTCTCAGACTAAGGCCTTGGCTACACTTGGCAATTCATAGCACTGCCGCAGCAGCGCTGTGAAGCGCGAGTGTAGTCGTGCCGCCAGCGCTGCGAGAGAGCTCTCGCAGCGCTGTATGTACTCCACCTCTCCGAGGGGAGTAGCTTGCAACGCTGCGAGCGAGCGTGCAGCATTGCAGGCTCTGATTACACTGGCGCTTTACAGCGCTGCACTCGCTGCGCTGGGGGGGCGTTTTCACACCCCTGAGCGCAGCAAGTTGCAGCACTGTACAGCACCAGTGTAGCCAAGGCCTGAGAAAGCGGGACGATCAGCGAGTTATCTTAAGTGCCTATACACAAATGCAAGAAGCCTGGGAAACAAGCAGGGAGAACTGGAAGTCCTGGCACAGTCAGGGAATTATGATGTCATTGGAATAACAGAGACTCGGTGGGATAACTCACATGACTGGAGTACTGTCATGGATGGTTATAAACTGTTCAGGAAGGACAGGCAGGGCAGAAAAGGTGGGGGAGTTGCATTGTATGTAAGAGAGGAGTATGACTGCTCAGAGCTCCGGTATGAAACTGCAGAAAAATCTGAGAGTCTCTGGATTGGGTTTAGAAGTGTGAACAACAAGGGTGATGTCGTGGCGGGAGTCTGCTATAGACCAGAAGATATATAGCAGAATATGCCATTGTCTGGCCTATTCTGAACAGTGCCGAGCACACAGATGGTGCCCAGTGAATAACACAAATCATGACAATAATCCTCGACTTTATGGACTCTGTGGATGCAATTTCTGTTCTTTGTTCTGCAATGGCCTGGATACAGCTAAGAATTTGAGGCACAAACACACCTGATACTTTCCTTCCTTTCCTCAAACTCAGAACAAAAAATGACAAAAACCAAATGGTTTTCAGTTACAGTGTAAAATTGCCCAGCAGCCATTGCTGTACAGCCCAGCCTGGGGCAGAACCTGCCACCCCTGGGGGGGTTAAGTGATCGCCTCTCATCTGAGTCTCCTATCTCCAGCCTTTCTGACCTCTCTGCTGCTTTTCATGCTGCCAACCGTGACATCCTTCCCATGGGACCGTGTGCTGGAGTTGCAGAGAACTGGCCGCCTTGGTTTCACTCCCATCTATCTGAGTCCTCATTTTTGCAGCATGCAGCAGAGAGAAAGGCTGGTGCCGTGGATCGGGAGCTGGCCCTGAGAGACGTGGGTGCTACTCCCCCATGGACTGCCTGTCTGACCACAGGCCAGTGCCTTAGGGACAGAGTTTCAAAGGTCTTTAGGCATCCAAAGATGCAGCTTGGCATCTAGTGGGGTTTACAAAGCACCGAACCTTCTAGGTCCTTTTGAACAGCCCACTAGGTGCCTAAATACCTTTGAAAATCTGGCCCTCAGTCTGTGTGTGCCTCAGTGCCCCACCTGTACAATGGGGATAACAGCCCTGCTCTGCCTCACTGAGGGGCTGTGATGTGAGGCCACATCAGTACCACGGGTAGCGTGGGAACTTTTCTATCCCACTGCTCACCCTGCCCTGGGGTTTGGCCCCTTCTTTTCACCTACGCCCCTCACATCTCCCTTTTCTGAACGTAACCTTGGCTCCAAGGGCTTGGCTATTTCTTCGGAGTCCCCTGCAGTCTCAGGAGTTGGGGGTTTCTTCTACACCCCCCACCCACTGCAGTGGGATTCTTCTTTTACAGGTTCATCTAAAGATTTCCAGATCGTTAATTTCCTTACCAGCCTTTTCTTATCTTAATCACCCTGCCTGTTCGTAAACAAAACCCTGACTCCCTGCTCGGGGGCATGAGCTGGGAGAAGCACCTCTCTGGGTTGTAGGATTTTATGTTTGTATTTTATAAAATTTAGAATGAAGGATAAAAAATAATAATGTAGCATGTATTAAATGTATTGATGTATGATTTGATCATATCCTGCCAGCCACCCTTTCTGAATAACAGAAAGGAATGGCCTAATGGGCCAATGGGTAGAGATACATGAGCCAGAATCTGTGTCTGGGCTGATTTCAAGGCAGTAACAGACCTTTGAGGGTCACCAATTTGTTGTAGGTTTAGCATTTTGAAATAAGTAAAAGGATGCCGTGATTGTTTTCTTGTGCATTGCAATTTGATGTTCCTGCTCAAGACGTTCTGTGTAAATTAATTCTGTTCTGTGTGTGAATGAGGAATGGGTGTGTAAAGAGATAAGTGTGAAGGCCGTCGCTGAACCAGATGTTTAAGGAGGGACAGGAGACAGACACAAGGGCACCAGGAGCCTCTGATCGGAGTCAGTTCTGGAGGCAGAGTTGCTCCCTGAAGCACTGGTGTTTGGCAGAGATGCATGAAAGCGGAGCAGACACGGTCAGCGCTGGTACACACAAACACACGCGCATGCAGGGACGCTCCTGTGCGATTGCATCTCTGGTCATGCTTTATTCAGAGCAGTTTGAAATGCACAGGGGGACTCGGACCATTTCTGGAGTCTCCGGGGAGCTGGGAGCCAGGACTCCTGGGTTCTCTCCCAGCTCTGGGAGGGAAGTGGAGTCTAGTGGTTAGCACAGTGGGGCTGGGAGTCAGGACTCCTGGGTTCTATTCCCTCGCAGAGATCTTTGAAAGGCTGGGGAAGAAGCTGTGAGGGGGTATTAATAATACACAGCACTTTGCTCCAAACTCTAGTGGAGAGTCTCCTCTCGCCTGCATCAGGCTTTGTCTCAAGCCCCCCCCCCCCCCCCCCCGCTCCCAAAGCCCTTTGCAATGGCAGCTCACCATTGTTATTCCCCTTACAGGGGCGGGGGGAAACTGAGGCAGGTCAGGGAACAGGAAAGGCCGAGTGCACCGGTTATACTGAGACACCAATGGCCCGGGGGGGTCCTGCCAGTCAGCAGAAGCATAGCCCCAGAAGGAAAGGGAGGAAAAGGGGGACCCGGGGGACGATGCTGGCCAGGGTGAAGGGACCCCAGGCCAGAGTCGGGATGGCGCTGCTGGTCTGCGCTTTGGGCGCTGGGCTGCATTGGACATTGGTCAGTTTGTAGGTGAACACCCCCGATTCCAGTGTCTTGATGCCGCAGGCCACCCGGGTAGCGCAGCCCCGGCCTGCAAACGGGATAGCGACATCACCTGTGTGGGGAAACCAGAGCAGATCAGACACGGCACGGCCTAACCCCCTTCTGTGATGCCATGATCGGGCCCAGGCTGGTTCTCCAGGGACCTCGTCTCTAAGCCCTAGCGCCCTTGGGATAGCTCTTGGCCCGGTTCATTAATTCTCAGCTAACGTGGCATCCTGAGTAGCGTAGGCCACTAGACTTTAAACCCAGGTTTTCCACGCCTCGGATCATTCTCATGGCTCTTCTCTGACCCTCCCCCCCAACACACACACACTCCAATTTACCACAATGCTCCCTGACACCAGCACTGGACACAGGATTCCAGCAGCGATGGAACCAGTATCAAGCACGGAGGCAAAATAAACCTCGGGGGGTTGAGGGAACCCCGCTCTTCTTCCAACACGGTCCTCAAGATGCACCCATGTTTCTTTGCAAGATGCCCTGGCCTCTGAATCGTTATCACTGGCCTAGCAAAGGGAGGTCCTGCATGCCGTATGACAGCATCTCATGCTTTGGTGGATAGGACCATGCGGAGCCCCTGGCCTGGGGGTACCCTGCTGTGGGGGGCACATGGAGTAAGGAGGAGTTGCAGGGAGTTCCTGGAGCACAGGGGACTCTTAGGGGGTTCAATGTTCTCATCCTACACAGGCAATGAAGTGGATGACCCTCTGGGCAGATGTTTCACCTAGTCAGACAAGCTTGCGGTCCGTTTTTTTCCATGCAACATCTTTCCTGAGCGGCTGTGGCAAACAGCAGGAGAAATTGTTCTCTGCATGAATCTCTGACTCCAAAAATATTCCCTGAGAGCCCTTGGAGTTTGAACAGAGATTAAGGGGACAGCCTGCATGCTGTTTGCATACACCTCTGTTCCAGGACTGGTGGAAACAGTGTGACCAAGCAAACTGTCCTAAGGAAATACTACAAGGCCCCAGAAGTCTGCTGCTACTTGGCAAAAGGTGGAAAATATTGTCACCCCTTATGACCAGAGCGGTTCACCAAAAATTTGAGATCTTGAGGGTCATTCCCATCAGGAAGAGAAATTGGCATTGGAAACAGGGCTATCTTTGATGTAATACTGCGTAGCTACAAACAATGTATTTGCCCACGGTCCAAAGCCCCTTTCCAGCCAGTTTTCTGCCCAAAAGCTCTGCCTTAGCTTTTCCCAAGGCCACATTCCCAGTCCTTCTTCTATCTCTGTCCTGGGCTATTCTGCCCCTGCTCCCTGGTCTTCTGCTTCTCTCCAATTGACCCGCCCTCGCCAATCCTAGCTTTGGGAAACTTCACAACCCACATGGCTAAGCTTCTGCTCAGTCTTGCCATGTTTGAAATATGCAAAGGGTCACCAAGTCTTGCTGGAATGTCCAGTGGGGGCTGGGAGCCAGGACTCTGGGGTTCGCTCTCCAGCTCTGGGAAGGGAGTGGAGTCTAGTGGTTAGAGATGGGGGGGCTGGGAGCCAGGACTCCTGGGTTCACTCCTGGGCTCTGGGAAGGGTGTGGGGTCTAGTGGTTACAGCAGGGGGGCTTTGAGCCAGGGCATAGCACGATCATGCAGCCCTTTGTTTTGAGTGATGGCCTCTATGGTTTCAGCTTTTGCTAAGCAAAGGGGTGTTTCCCGGCTCCCCGGCTCAGCGGGCGCGGACGAGCCCCAGGACACCCCCGGGCTCGCCGGGGATTTAACTCGCCCCAGAGCGAAGGAAGCCGCACCTTGCGCCAGCGTCCCGACGACAACAGCACATTGGTCGGCACCTCCAGTGCAGCGCAAGCTCTCGTTGCTCTCACAGCTCTCGAAGCCCGGGGCGTAGCAGGCCGGGCACTGCAGGCCATTGCGGACACTGCTGATAGCCTGCCCTGAAAGGCAGACAGGGAAAGAACCATTTGCTCCAGGAAGAAACCGCGGCAGGAGAACGTAGGACAGGCAGGACCCTCCCAGGTCATCAACCCAGCACTTCGTCCCGCTCAGGCAGCTAGCGTGGTTATTTGCCCCCACTCCTCCAACGGGCAGCTGTCCCGCCACCCCTCTCCTCTGGCCGCTAGAAACATCCTGACTTCCAGCCTCGGTCACTTCCTGGCCTGTGTGTTCCCATGCCCGCATCTTCCACCAACTTCTATCGGTCTTCTCCCTTGAGGCTGCTTCCCCCCATTGTGTTCTGGGGCACACGCCGGACCACTCAGGGCTTGCGTCCGCCTCGCTCCGTGTGCATTTGCTCCTTTCGAGAGACAAAATCCAGCAGTTTCCAGGGACTTGAATCTGCCTCAGTGGAAGTACCCATCTTCCTCCACTTGCAGGAGCTCCAGCCCGCTGGTGCCTGTCCAGTAATGGGGGCGGGGAGCGGGAATGTGGCATGCTCAGGGGAGGAGGCGGGGAAGAGGCGGGGCCGGGGTGGGGATTTGAGGGAAGGAATTGGAATAGGGGCAGGGAGGGGGCCGAGTTGGGGCGGGGACTTCTGGGAAGGGGTTGGAATGGGGGCGGGGAAGGGGCGGGGCCTCATGGAAGGGGTGGAGTGGGGGCAGGGCCGGGGGCAGAGGAGGAGTCGAGCACCCACGGGAAACCTATGCCTCCACTGAGCTAAGTCAACCCAGTGCTCTTTTTGAACGGAAGTGAGTGTTAACGGGGCAAGCTGCTGGGTCTCTTTAAAGGAGCAAATCAACCTGATTGTGACTCTGACCGGCCCGGAAAAGGGCCAGACGTTGCAGCGCTGGGGAAATCCAGGACTGTGGGGGGCGGGGGTGTTGGGTGGAGGATACCAGGGGCAGAGCGCTGCACCCCAGCTGCCCAGCCCACAGACACTCAGGAGACTGGAGGCCTCCAAGCTGTGAGCGCAGACATAGAGCATTTTAAGGCACCCATGGTTAGAGGGTGACCCCTTACTGGTCCGGTTTGCACCCCAGAACATCCCTCCTGAGAGCAATCGGGTCTCTTCTCAGCTTGCATTATCCCAGGCTAAACAAACCCAGCTCTTCCAGTCCCCTCTCATAAGATTGGCTCCCCATGTCCTCTGATCAGCCCAGTAGCCCTGCTCTGCACCTGGCCCAGTTTGAATTCATCTGCCTTGAATTTGGGGGACCACAGCTGGACACAGTGTGCAAGGAAAGGTCTTACCAGGACAAAGGCTTTAAAACTTCCCTCTCTCCCCTAGACATGTCTCATCCACACTTGCTTCCCATGACAAATAACTTCCCCCCCAAACTGCTCGCTTGCCCCAGAGTCCTTGGAAATCTCCTGGCTTTTCCCCGAGGCCGGGAATAGCAGCTCCTCAGAGATCGGGGGTTCGACCCAGCGGCTTCCCCGTGCCCCCGAATCAGACCCGCCACCAGCGATACATACCGATGGGCATTAAATGGACGTTGCAGTCGTTGGTCTTGCAAATTTCTGACCGGATCTCCACGGTCACCGTGGCCCCGAAGTAAAAAGCCAGGAAGCCCATGAGGCTCTGGCGGGAGTCGGCGCAGGACTGGTACGTGCCTCCATTCCACGTGCTAGACTGAAAGGCTTCAGAGCGAGAAGGGGATGTCACGCGCCGGTTACACGGACGGAGCCACCGCAGTGTCACGGCCCCCGTTAAATATTGATACGAGCAGATCCTTAGAGCGGACCCCCACCCCACCTCATAACCATCACCAGGCACCTCTGCAGGACCACAGGGCTGGAAGCAGCGGGGGGTTCATCCCATGGTGCCCTCCCTTCTAGGCTAAATTCCAGCGCCCAGACTGGTGTTGCCCCCCAAAACCATAGGGGGGGTGGCATCATCCCACCGGGTGGGGGCAGCTGTCCCTGGGCCATCACGCTGAGTGGGGCAGGCACTTCCCTTTGGCTGTCATATTGTCCCTGGGGACAAGAAACTGAGTCCCCAGGCCTGGGGGGCCCCTCGCTGCCGGGGGACTCCCTGCGATCACCTGGTGAGCACCCCATGCCGCTGCTAGTTGGAAGGGACCTCATCCAGTCCAGCGCCCAACACTGAGGGCAGACCAAGGCAACCTAGACCAGCCCTTACAGGTGTTCATCCAACCTGGTCGGAAAACCTCCGCTGACGGGGACCCCACCCCTTCCCGCTGGGAGTAGCTGATTGGCTGCCTTTGGCTGCATTCAGACACACGATGGCTAGCAAGCCACCTGGGAAAAGTATCCGAGAGCAGGGCTCCCGCCGCACCCCACAGCTGCCGCGAAAGCCGACGGGACTCACCGAATGTGTTGTGTTCTTGAACGATGATGCAGGCGTCCTGGGGAGAGGAGCAGATCTGGGGGAGGTTGTGGGAACAGCTTTGCCCAGATTTGCAATAGAAACAGGTCAGAGGCATCCCTGAAAAGAGAGCCGGGGTCAGGGGAGAAACTCATCTTTGTACCCGCTACCAATGTCCAGCTTCTTGATTTCCAAATCCTTCCTGGGCCCTCTCCAGGCTACAGCTGTTATAACAGCACCGCTAATGGTGCCACTAGAGCGTAGAAGCTTCCCACACTGGAAGAAGGGGCTGTGATGAAGTGGCCATGTTCTGCCATATTTTTATGACGCTGATGTGTGCCTCGGTTTCTCCTGGACTTGGCACTGCTACCCAGTGGTCCGGGAGAAAGGGTTGAGTGTGCAAAAACCCTTGGAAGTGTGCAATAGCCCCGCTCACCTACAGCCACCCTGGCTCAAGGGGTCGCTATTCCACCCCAGAGCTGAGGAGTGGATCAAACCACCAAGGGGCTGCGACGTCTTCTGCGTTCACCCGATAATAACCCGCAAACATTACCCCGGCAGAAAATTTCCCATCCCGGCCATTCGTGGATGGAAAATGGACTTTGGCAAACAGTTGAATATTCTGACGTCACTCCCCAGTTGCCTGGGGGCCCAGATGACCCAGGCGCCCCAGAAACTGAGGCGAGGGGCAGACAGGAAAGCAGAGAACGTAGCAGTTCTTGCAAAACAGGGGTGCGTCAACAGAGCTTTCACCATCATCTGCAGCTGTTTGCTTCGGGCCCATTTCCCTGTGAGTTCTCCATGCGCAGGTCTCTTCACAGAGGCTCCGAATGGTGCCTGCACGTGGCACCGTCTTCTCCAAAGAGCCGTGGGTCAGACCCAGCTCTGGCGCTGTCTCTGGGGCTTGCGGCTGAGTGACCCCTTCTGCTGTGCGTCACCTCTCGCCCCACTATTGCTCCTGGAGTGAGCGGGGTCCGACTCATATAGCCTTCAGGCTCCTCCCACTGCCCTCAGCCTCGGCAGCGATTAGTGGTTGATCAGAGCCAGCTGGGCCACACCTCCTGCTGATTGGCTGGGCTAGTTCCCCACTCACAGCCCATTGGGCAGCTGGGGCGGGGGGGGGGTTGTTTTTCCCCACCCATGTAGCAGTGCATTCACCAGACCCCACCTATGGCTGACACGCTGAACAGCCAGAAACTGAACTGATTTGGGGGGGCCAAAAACCATCATATTTAAAGCCCAAAATGGCACCCGGTGCATCATGGGAGATGAAATTCAATTGCCTCTTGCTCCCATTTTCTTCCCTGGACTATGTGTCTCATGATGCACCTGGCTCCCAGCCCCCCCTGCCCTAACCACTAGACTCCACTCCTATCCAAGAGCCGGGGATAGAGC